AGCTATTTCCCGTTTAGACATCTGGAACCCGTTTTATTAGTCCGGCCTCACGTAATTCCTCGAAAATCGATATTATTTCGTTTGAAACGCCTGTATTACCAGCTGCCTTTGACGCTAGAAGTAGACGTAATCGATCGACCAACTCGTTTGGATTGTCCCAATACACTAAGTTATTTTTCTGTAATTTCATAGACAGTCCACTGCCCGAGGGAAATAATTTACTGATGATTGATGTATATTTAAAGCCACCCTTTTTTATTATTTTTCTTCCAATAGTTATATGTGCTGATGTTTGAATCAATATAGATTTATACACACCTATATCGTTGTCGGTATAAACAAGAGGATTTTTCAAAAATAATAACTGAATAAGACCCGAGGTTAAGTCATAAACAGTACCGTCAATAAGTATAGTATTTTCGGTGAATTTTACTTCTTTATCGCCCAATATAATATAGCCATTTGGAAGTTTTTTCGGACCGTATATTTTATCCAAGTCTGTAGACTGAAGCCAATTTTCAATTTCCTGTTGATAGTCGTCCGCAAATGAGTTTTTCGACCTGACGTTAATATTTTCTTTGTTTGATGTCAGCCCAGGTTTATTCGATATTTTAGTTAATGGATCGATAATTGGTTTTAATGTCTGTGTCATTAATTGTTGAACATTATCCGAACCGGTTTTCAATGCGATATATTTGCGTTTAATACTTTCCTTAGCTTTGACAAGCTCATCTAGAACAGTAGTTGCTTCCGTCATGACTGCGTTATAAATGATAATATTTATTAATTGTATCGCCTTATATAACCACATAAGTATCAAACCCAAAACGATAACGTCCGTTATCACGCTCACAGTCTTTACAAATAACAATAAATGTAAACATCTCACGGTTCCAACATGTCATACAAACATTTTTAAATTGTATATATGTCATGTCTCCTGAACAGTGCTCTTGATATATATGTTTTAAATTAGTTTCATCTTGTTTGAACAACACTATTAAATTTGCATTATCGCGTATCAGCTGTTTAGGTACTTTTGAATAGCTCTGAGCTAGGTAAAATATATCAATTTTATTGTGGCGACCTCGAGAAAAATAATCTCTTATTACATTTTGTTGTTCGCCGATAACATCATCCAAGATAAAAATTGAGTTCGGTAAAACTTTCTCGGGTGGAATTACTTTATCATTCTCGAAAAAGGTAAAAATGTTGATACCATCAATACCGTCAATAATACGTTTCAGTAATTTATATTTTGGTTGTTCTAAGGTCTTAGAGTATATGTAAACGTTTTCAAATCGCAAACCGTTTTCATCGACGAGTAGAAAATACATCAGATTTGTTTTACCACATCCAGAGCTACCAAGTACCAACGACCTTATCGTATTTGGGAAAAGTTCACCATGTCTCAGCTGAATTGTCTCGGGGGTATCAATGTTATAAATCCGAAGTTTTTTCTCTTGTTCAATAAAGCGCATTTTTTTTTTTTAATTTTTCACTATAAATACAGATGCAAAGTTATCGAAAGCGTCACACGATGTCTCGAGTTCGTAAGCGAAACAACAATAAAGGATCCGGTCTTATTAACTCTGTTATAAATCATTTACCCGTGGAATTGCATTTACCTGGCTATAGGTAAGTCACTACATAATATTATTGTTATTAAATCCTGTCTACATTTTATATATATATTTGTTATAGATTTGCCGGTCCTGGAACCAAATTAAAAGAAAGACTAGCGCGTGGAGAACGCGGAATTAACCGTCTGGATGAGTTGGCCAGAGCCCACGATATCGCATACGATGAAAGTAATTCACTAACCGATAGACACAGAGCGGACGAAGTATTAGAAAATCAGGCTTGGGAAGTGTTTAAATCAAAAAACACAGGTATCAAGGAAAAAGCTGCGTCTTGGCTGGTCACTACAGCCATGAAGGTCAAACGTAAGATGGGAGCTGGTTGCGGATTTAAACAAATGGTTTTGGCTGCTAAGAATTCGATCAAAAATAAAATGAACGAAAAAAATATAACTAAATTAGTAAAAACATGTCTGTCAGCTGCAAAAAAATCTAAAAAATCTAAAAACAAGAAGACTAAAACTCCAAGAATTATACCAATACCGAAAAGGGGCGGTGTCTTACCATTAATACCTATTTTTGCTGGTTTATCAGCATTAGGTGCGCTTACCGGAGGTGTCGGTAATATAGTCAAAGTCGTGAAAGAATTAAATTCTGGTAAAAACACTCCTATTCATTTAGGCAAAGGCTCATATCTAGCACCTCACAAGGGTAGTTCTTATAAAGTCGTAAAAGGAGAAGGTTTATACCTAACACCATACAAAGGTGGATCAGTTAAGAAGTCTAGAAAACCACACAAGGGTCAAGAAGTCAAGAAGTCTAGGTCAAAAAACTAATTGTTACGTTACCCGATAGAGCGTTGTTCGATTATGAGGTTATAAAATACGCTGCCATGTTGAAAATACCTCATTTCATTGGTGTATTTTCTAGAGACAAGTTGTCGCAACGTTTAAAAAATCAAGAGTCGGCTGTAGTTAATTTAGACACTGAAATCGGCACAGGTACTCATTGGGTAGCGTATAAGAAAATCGGAAAACAAGTTAAATATTTTGACAGCTACGGAAACTTACCCCCTCCGCTAGAATTACAGAAATATTTCAACGGGTGCAGTATCGAATATAACTACGATAGACATCAAAAATATAATACAACAAACTGTGGTCACTTGTGCTTACAATTTTTATCATGTACACTATAACGTTAACCGGCAACTCGAGTGAATTGTCATGCGACTTTTTTCCACCTATAGAAGTCAGTAAAAACGCGAAAATCTGTCTGCTGGGTTTTCGAACAAATAATTCTATACCTAATGTAAACGAGAAATGCAATAGAATAGGAATCACAAATAATATCTCAGGTAAGCGTACAAGCGAAAGCTATACAATACCCACTGGATCTTATGAGTTGAAGGAAATCGAAGCGGCAATAATACGTGTATTACCTAATTCAGATACTTTATTCGTGTTGAGAGCAGATAATAATACATTAAAATGCACAATGTTTTGTAGCGAAACTGTTGATTTTTCCATGTCTAATGGTATAGGAAAATTGTTAGGGTTTAAAAATCGTAAGTATGATGCTAATGTCAATCACGAATCAGATGCGTTGGTCAATATTACAAAAACAAACTGTATATATATCGACTCAAATCTGGTTATGGGTTCATTCGTTAACGGTAAGCAGTGTCATACAATACACGAGTTTTACCCGAATGTACCTCCAGGTTATAAAATAATAGAGGTTCCAACACATTTGGTATTTTACCCAATTAATTCTACATCTATAACGCACGCGAGTATAATTTTAAAAAATCAAGACAACGAGTTGATCGATCTACGAGGCGAGCCAGTATCGATACGATTATTAATTCAAGACTTGTGATAAACAATGGGTCTGCAATTTTGTAATATAAATAGAACTGCGTATGTAAAACCTGTCACTCGTATTAAAACCACTAGCAAGGTAACATCTCCGAAGAAGAAGAAATATTCGAGACGTAAACAAGTTGATCATAGTCTAACAGCAGATAATTTGGATTTTCTACGCTCGCTGAACGCTATTTAATATGGACGATTTGTATTTAGATGTAACGGCTGGATATACCGACGATTGTAAAATAACTCAAATTGACTATCATTCTTTTTTACCGTATTCAACATCTGCTCTTTCTAATAACGACGAGGTGCGTATTGCTCTGCATAACACAGAGTCTTATACTTTACCATGTGAGAGTTATATTTACATCGAGGGGACAATAATCAAACCTGTGGAAATAACTGACGAGATTAGATTCATAAACAACGGACTGGCATTTCTTTTCTCTGAAATGAAATACGAAATAAACGGTACTCAAATTCAGAAACTCGTCAATCCGGGTATATCGACCACATTAAAAGGATATTGCTCGTATAATAAAACAAATATTTCATCGCACCATAACGCTGCTTGGGATAGCGAAATTAAATCTGCTAATAAAGATTTTATCGATAACGACCATTTTAACGGATGTATTAATCTTAAAGATTTGTTTGGTTTTTGTGAAGATTATAAGCGAATTTTAATAAACTGTAATCAGCAACTTGTATTGAATAGAGCATCGATTGATATGAATGCCATCAAGCAGTTTAAAAATAATGAAGTTGTCGCAGACGCTCCTAAACTGAAAGACGTTAAAATAAACATAACAAAAATATTGTGGCGGATGCCTATAGTGAGAGTTAGTGATAGAGAAAAAATTAGACTGTTGAAAGTAATCAACAATCAGAAACCCCTGACATGTGCTTTTAGATCGTGGGAACTGTGTGAGTATCCATTTTTACCTCAAAACACTTCGCATTCGTGGAAAGTGAAGACATCCAACAAATTAGAAAAACCTCGCTATGTAATAATCGGATTTCAAACCAATAGGAAAAATAGCTCGATTAAATCAATGTCATATTTCGACCATTGTAAAATTAAAAACCTAAAGGTCTATTTAAACGCTGAAGTATTTCCCTATGAAGATTTTCAAAGTGACTTTACCAAGAACAAGATGGCGACATTATACCGCGCGTATGCCGAGTTCCAAAAATCTTACTACGGCCATGACGATGTGAAACCGCTATTGAACCGAGCAGATTTCAAAAATCTGTCTCCAATTATAGTTGTTGATATGAGCAGACAGAACGATAACGTGAAAACATCAACCGTCGACCTCAGGATTGAACTAGAAGCAGACGAAGCGTTCCCAGATTCAACATCCGCATATTGCTTAATATTACATGACCAAATTATAACTTATAATCCATTTAATGGAGAAGTAAGAACCTTGTAAATACTTATTGTAAACCTTACTATTATTTTAATAAATAAAAAAAAAAACTTTTTTTAAGTACCATGCTTGTTTTATTTTCACATAAATTAGTTAATTTCATACAAATATTAAAATAGACGTCGCTTAACATCACGTACTGGCGTCGGATGGTAGGCGAAGGTTGAATGAGATCGTTTGTGTGATGGCACTGGATGATCGGTGTAAGTTGGATAAGGTTGTGGTGGTGATATCGTCCTGAATTGGTAGAAAAAATCAGGCCCATCGTTTACGTCGCACGCCTGCGGGTTGCGAACCTCGTCAGATCCGTCCATATGATCTAGTGCCTGGAAAAAATAAATATAAAATAAATATTGTGTTTTTATTTTTAAAACTATGTTTATATAAATTACCTTAGCTAAAATATCATCCTTAGGCTGATTAAATCCATCACGTGCAGATGAATCGTCGTGCATGCTTAATATATTGCTGACCGGCGAATAGCTTGACGACGTTGGTGTATCCATTTCACCATTCTGTAACTAAAATAAAAAAGTTGTATTAAATATTTTTTTTACATGTACTACTGTATTTATGAATTACCTCATGTGTCAACTGTTGTAACACAGTTTCTGCTAGTTGTACGGTTGCATACATTTGTATTTGACCGATCATGTTTGGGTAAATTTTCTCCGTTCTATCGTCTTGTATTTTTTTAACGAATATTAACATATCTTCTAAATTTTTCGGTGGTGATTTAAGGCAAGCAGATTTCTCATGTAGATACATCGCAAAATCGTCAAACTGTCTTTTAATTACTGGAGCAGTGGTTACTTCTTTCCGTACAATACTTTCGAAAATACTACATTCAAGATATTGAAGCTTCATAAAGTCCTCCCGATTTAACAGTACTCTGCACCCGTCCTGAGTTTTTGACTCTATTACTAGCACGTTTTCTCCACAATACACCATACTGGATATTTTATGAAATTCAGTCTCAAGAAATATGATGCGCTTGTACTTCTGGACCGTATCTAGTATAAATGATAAGATATGCCCCATCATAGAGAATATACGTCTCAGGAAATCCGGAGATATTTTAACATGGCGCGATGGTGTTAATAAATGAACGGTGACTTGAAAATTATCAGTAGGATCGATACCTACAAGTATAAATTTGCGAGCTGCAAAGTTGATCGTGTAGCTTGTGGTTTCGATGAGTTCAGCCGGTGGTGATGGTGGTACATACGTAAAGGTCTTTTTCTTGTATAATGCAGCGTTGTCTTCGATTGAACCAGCCATGTTTTTAAAAATTGTTTATTATAAAAATAATAAAGACTTGGAAAAATTTTAAACACTGAACCACTATTATAAAGACTTGGATAAACGCGGAGGAGAATCGTACGTGTGTACACTTGAAGACAGACTGACTGAATGCCGACTCTTGCGGAGCCTATAAGTGTCCGTTTCACATTTACGTGCAGTAGATATTTCGCATATTCAATAATATAGGTTTATTTAGTGATTTTCGGCTATTTTAATAAATCTACAACATACTAAAATAAAGATATGCGTCATATATTTTAATTTCACACTCAACGTTACCAACGCATGCTATCATTATGATACATTATAAACAATTTTAAAACTACGGCAAAACATGTTGTAGATATTTCTCATATTCAATAATATACGTTTATTTAGTGAATTTCGACATTTTTAAAAAAACCTACACCGTAGTAACAATAGTGGTATACGGTATATATTTCTGATATTTAACAATATACGTTTATTTCGTGAATTTCGACAAAATCGTAATAATCTACACTGTACTAATAATTACGTTATGTTGTAGATATTTCTGATATTTTTCGATTTACGTTTATTTCGTGAATTTCAACATTTTTGACATTTTTAAAAATACCTACACCGTAGTAACAATAGTGGTATACGGTATATATTTTTGATATTTAACAATATACGTTTATTTCGTGAATTTCAACATTTTTGACATTTTTAAAAATACCTACACCGTAGTAACAATAGTGGTATACGGTATATATTTTTGATATTTAACGATTTACGTTTATTTCGTGAATTTTAACAAAATCGTAATAATCTACACTACAGTTACAATTACGTTATGTTGTAGATATTTCTGATATTTTGCGATTTACTTTTATTTCGTGAATTTTAACAAAATCGTAATAATCTACACTGTAGTTACAATTACGTTATGTTGTAGATATTTCTGGTGGCGGTGACAGCTGCTGATAATTTGACGGTTGTTGATAATCGTTATCACTATTAGGTATACGTCACGCACGTGCCCAATAATCGTTATCAGTGGTAAGAAGTGGTTACTGATTAGGTTACTGATAAGGCCAACATATTTACTTCGCGCACGTGGCCGATAACTGTTATCAGTGGTAAGTAGTGGTTACTGATAAGGAGTGGTTACTGATAAGAAATGGTTACTGATAAGGAGTGGTTACTGATAAGGCCAAAATATACGTCGCGCACATGACCGATAATCGTGTGTGTGTGTGTGTGTGTGTGTGTGTGTGTGTGTGTGTGTGTGTGTGTGTGTGTGTGTGTGTGTGTGTGTGTGTGTGTGTGTGTGTGTGTGTGTGTGAAGTGTGTGAAGTGTGTGAAGTGTGTGAAGTGTCAGCGGTCTGAACCCCCCAAATCATACTACTACCAATATATTATGACATAATATAATAACACTATCCTAGGTCTGCAGAAACTTGGAACCACTAATAAATTCACCGAGATCCGGTATTCGTCAAGGTATGGTATTTTCGGTAAATACCGTATAACCGGTAATACTGTCGATACCTGCAGTAGTGAACAAATACCGGATACCGGTATGAAAATTTGAAATATAGCCAGGCCTAAAATCACCTGTCTCCTAAGACCATCATACTATCATAGACAAGGGCACATACCTCTTTGCTGACGTTCTTAGTCTGATTTCGGTGCGGTCCAGTTCTCTCGGCATGTTGCTGAGTTTCTCCCTCGAGGTTTTCACTTTGCTCCACGTTCTTTTGTTGCGGCAACTGTACCGTAACAGCATGAGATTTACCGGACAGTCTGTCCTTCATGGCGCTTTCGTGGTGCGTTATTATCATGTCCGACACCATCGACACCTGTGGAAACACTGTCCGTTATAACTACCTATATATGCAAAACTATGAAAATATATCTACAATGTCCTACAGTACATAATATTTGGATGCGGAAACGATTTAAATGTCACTCGTTATTGTTAGGATTCTCTCGGCGATTTCCATCGAAATCTTTCGAATTTCATCGAGTCATATACTGCTCGAGGACGGTTATATATTTAACCCACCGCTATGACCCCGAAAATTCCCGCCGGACAAAGAGTTATATGGCTAGTCACTTGAGGTACTAACTGGTTAAGTGCGACCACCTTAGTATCATCCCAAACCATCCCATCAGCCCACTTTACAGTATTAAGTGATGTATAATATACAAGTTTAAACTGTCTTGGCGGGTATTGTGCAAATAGATTTTGATATTTTTTGCAAAAAATTAATAATTTTAACCGTGCACAGTAGTACAGAACACAATAACTGCACTTACAGGGGACTATATTTTTAGGAACCGGTTGTTTTTTATGACGTGCCGATCGAGATATCCAAAAGATTTGAAGATCGACTTATTCCGAAAACCAGTAGTAGAGTGTTCCGATGATATTATGTCTGAAGATCTTTTAAAAACGTATGGAAAATATTCAACAGCTGACAGTGCCTGACACGGAAATAAAATACAGTAGTTTAAAAAAAACACGTCAGCGGCACTCACCAAAAAATGACGGTTTCGTGCAATCCAAGCGTGGTATGAACACCGTTGGCCACTGGCAGAGATGACAATAATAATATAATACAAATAATAATATAATTGTATTATATTATTGTGCGGTACTGCGACGATCGGCGGATAAAATTATAATTATAATAATATTATGTTTACGACACGAAAATTCACCGAAAACGAGAATACTATATATTATTGTGTTTGCTGGGCAGATCGAAGACTCGCGCAAAATTTCCGGTATCGTGCACGACGTAGTGGCGCGTAACGATGACGGTAGGAAAAAAATAATTATACACCGTGCGTAACCACAATAACGATACAATCGCTTGTTAGTTTTATGACTGCCGGACAATGGCGGTGTACGATATCGTTATTGTTTGCCGATGTAGGCTCTAAGCGAAACGGTTCTGCAGTGGCACAGGCACATCGCCGAAAAACAACAGTAATAACAATAATAATATTACGGCAGACAACAAACGCGGCAAAACGGTTCGAACCGAACGACTGTACGGGACGCGGCGTTAACGCACAATAGTGCAATACGAAACTATTTACTGTGGCCGCGGTACACAGATTAACGGTCGTCGTTCGTCAAACGGCGGCGGCGGCGTCGTCGTCGGGACCGGTACGGTAGCGCGCCGCCTGCGTGCCGCGACCGTCTCGCGGCGCTCAAAGCTGCTTCGGCGGCGGGCCCAGTGTTGCCACCGAGCTGGCGCGTGCCTCGGTCGCCCGCCCGCGACGGCCGCACACGTGCAGCCGCTGTCCCGACGCCGCGTTTGTCGTCTTCTATAAAAACATAAAAAAAAAATTAATAATAACTATTGGGTATTTATCATCTCGTGTCGTGTAGTTCTCGGTGTAAAAACGCTCGCTCGCTCACGCGCACCGCACCGCGACGGCGCTATAACAATAATCGAAAATATTATAATACAATGTATAGGTGGTAATAGTATATGTCACAACCGGTAAATTATTATTAAAACTACACGCTCACGAAGGCGGTGGTGGTAGGCAGGACGTACCCACGTAAACATGAGCACCGGGCGCCGCCGCCGGCTAGCACATTGCGCCGAACGTGACAGCGGCACCGTGTGCGCGGCTAACGCGTGTCGCGTGATCGTGTTACGTTGTACGGCGGCAACGTGCTGTATTATTATAAGTATTGCGATATTTATTATATTATTTTTATTATTATGATTATTATTGTATTGTACGTACGAAGCCGCCGCCACTCTGTCGTTGAGGGGCCCGATGTGATAAATGTGAAAAACCCACGTGACGTGGTTCGATTCGCAATTTCAAATATTAAGAATTTTCGAAATTTTTGTCCGTTTACTATTATCACGAGTAAAGTAAAGCCGCGATGGGAGCGTGATACTTGTAGGGCTGTACAGGCTGAGGGTCGTTCAAAGCGGTTATTTATTAATTAGGACGTGGGCGAACGACGTGGGTACAATGACTAAAGTGCGTACTATTGTCTTACAGAGTATATCTAAATTATAGGTAGGCAGTAGGGCCATTGATTAAGACGTTTACTTCATTAATGGTGGAGCCATACACCTTCTCAATGAACAAAAACAGTATTTGTAGACTATAGTCAACGAAACACCGTACCTAGTTTAAACTTTAAACACACGCCGCATTTTAATTTTTTTATATTTTTACTTTAATAGGTAATACTTTATATAATATCGATGTACGTAATCGATATAAAAAATACCTACCTTATATTAGACGTAACTCGAGTTACAGCTGTAAAGTGCATTCTTCAAATGTCTGTATCTACCTACGGTATGTAATAATAATCACACCTATACATATCAATGAAA